ACAGCAACCACCCAGGGAGGTACTACCGTCCTGTGGTAGTAGGTTGGTAGACACCAACCACCCAGGGAGGTACTACCGTCCTGTGGTAGTAGGTTGGTAGACAGCAACAACCCCGAGATGTACTACCGTCCTGTGGTAGTAGGTTTGTTAGACAGCAACCACCCAGGGAGGTACTACCGTCCTGTGGTAGTAGGTTGGTAGACAGCACCCACCCAGGGAGGTACTACCGTCCTGTGGTAGTAGGTTGTTAGACAGCAACCACCCAGGGAGGTACTACCGTCCTGTGGTAGTAGGTTGGTAGACAGCAACCACCCAGGGAGGTACTACCGTCCTGTGGTAGTAGGTTGGTAGACAGCAACCACCCAGGGAGGTACTACCGTCCTGTGGTAGTAGGTTGGTAGACAGCAACCACCCAGGGAGGTACTACCGTCCTGTGGTAGTAGGTTGGTAGACAGCAACCACCCAGGAAGGTACTACCGTCCTGTGGTAGTAGGTTGGTAGACAGCAACCACCCAGGGAGGTACTACCGTCCTGTGGTAGTAGGTTGTTAGACAGCAACCACCCAGGGAGGTGCTACCGTCCTGTGGTAGTAGGTTGGTAGACAGCAACCACCCAGGGAGGTACTACCGTCCTGTGGTAGTAGGTTGGTAGACAGCAACCACCCAGGGAGGTACTACCGTCCTGTGGTAGTAGGTTGGTAGACAGCAACCACCCAGGGAGGTACTACCGTCCTGTGGTAGTAGGTTGGTAGACAGCAACCACCCAGGGAGGTACTACCGTCCTGTGGTAGTAGGTTGGTAGACAGCAACCACCCAGGGAGGTACTACCGTCCTGTGGTAGTAGGTTGGTAGACAGCAACCACCCAGGGAGGTACTACCGTCCTCTGGTTGTAGGTTGGTAGACAGCAACCACACAGGGAGGTACTACCGTCCTCTGGTAGTAGGTTGGTAGACAGCAACCACCCAGGGAGGTACTACCGTCCTGTGGTAGTAGGTTGGTAGACAGCAACCACCCAGGGAGGTACTACCGTCCTCTGGTAGTAGGTTGGTAGACAGCAACCACACAGGGAGGTACTACCGTCCTGTGGTAGTAGGTTGGTAGACAGCAACCACCCAGGGAGGTACTACCGTCCTGTGGTAGTAGGTTGGTAGACAGCAACCACCCAGAGAGGTACTACCGTCCTGTGGTAGTAGGTTGTTAGACAGCAACCACCCAGGGAGGTACTACCGTTCTGTGGTAGTAGGTTGGTAGACAGCAACCACCCAGGGAGGTACTACCGTCCTGTGGTAGTAGGTTGGTAGACAGCAACCGCCCAGGGAGGTACTACCGTTCTGTGGTAGTAGGTTGGTAGACAGCAACCGCCCAGGGAGGTACTACCGTCCTGTGGTAGTAGGTTGGTAGACAGCAACCACCCAGGGAGGTACTACCGTCCTGTGGTAGTACGTTGGTAGACAGCAACCACCCAGGGAGGTACTACCGTCCTGTGGTAGTAGGTTGGTAGACAGCAACCACCCAGGGAGGTACTACCGTCCTGTGGTAGTAGGTTGGTAGACAGCAACCACCCAGGGAGGTACTACCGTCCTGTGGTAGTAGGTTGGTAGACAGCAACCACCCAGGGAGGTACTACCGTCCTGTGGTAGTAGGTTGGTAGACAGCAACCACCCAGGAGGTACTACCGTCCTGTGGTAGTAGGTTGGTAGACAGCAACCACCCAGGAAGGTACTACCGTCCTGTGGTAGTAGGTTGGTAGACAGCAACCACCCAGGGAGGTACTACCGTCCTGTGGTAGTAGGTTGGTAGACAGCAACCACCCAGGGAGGTACTACCGTCCTGTGGTAGTAGGTTGGTAGACAGCAACCACCCAGGAAGGTACTACCGTCCTGTGGTAGTAGGTTGGTAGACAGCAACCACCCAGGGAGGTACTACCGTCCTGTGGTAGTAGGTTGGTAGACAGCAACCACCCAGGGAGGTACTACCGTCCTGTGGTAGTAGGTTGGTAGACAGCAACCACCCAGGGGGTACTACCGTTCTGTGGTAGTAGGTTGGTAGACAGCAACCACCCAGGGAGGTACAACCGTCCTGTGGTAGTGGGTTGGTAGACAGCAACCACCCAGGGAGGTACTACCGTCCTGTGGTAGTAGGTTGGTAGACAGCAACCACACAGGGAGGTACTAACCGTCCTGTGGTAGTAGGTTGGTAGACAGCAACCACCCAGGGAGGTACTACCGTCCTGTGGTAGTAGGTTGGTAGACAGCAACCACCCAGGGAGGTACTACCGTCCTGTGGTAGTAGGTTGGTAGACAGCAACCATCCAGGGAGGTACTACCGTCCTGTGGTAGTAGGTTGGTAGACAGCAACCACCCAGGGAGGTACTACCGTCCTGTGGTAGTAGGTTGGTAGACAGCAACCACCCAGGGAGGTACTACCGTCCTGTGGTAGTAGGTTGGTAGACAGCACCCACCCAGGGAGGTACTACCGTCCTGTGGTAGTAGGTTGGTAGACAGCACCCACCCAGGGAGGTACTACCGTCCTGTGGTAGTAGGTTGGTAGACAGCAACCACCCAGGGAGGTACTACCGTCCTGTGGTAGTAGGTTGGTAGACAGCAACCACCCAGGGAGGTACTACCGTCCTGTGGTAGTAGGTTGGTAGACAGCAACCACCCAGGGAGGTACTACCGTCCTGTGGTAGTAGGTTGGTAGACAGCAACCACCCAGGGAGGTGCTACCGTCCTGTGGTAGTAGGTTGGTAGACAGCAACCACCCAGGGAGGTACTACCGTCCTGTGGTAGTAGGTTGGTAGACAGCAACCACCCAGGGAGGTACTACCGTCCTGTGGTAGTAGGTTGGTAGACAGCAACCACCCAGGGAGGTACTACCGTCCTGTGGTAGTAGGTTGGTAGACAGCAACCACCCAAAGGGGTTCTACCGTTCTGTGGTAGTAGGTTGGTAGACAGCAACCACCCAGGGAGGTACAACCGTCCTGTGGTAGTGGATTGGTAGACAGCAACCACCCAGGGAGGTACTACCGTCCTGTGGTAGTAGGTTGGTAGACAGCAACCACACAGGGAGGTACTACCGTCCTGTGGTAGTAGGTTGGTAGACAGCAACCACCCAGGGAGGTACTACAGTCCTGTGGTAGTAGGTTGGTAGACAGCACCCACCCAGGGAGGTACTACCCTCCTGTGGTAGTAGGTTGGTAGACAGCACCCACCCAGGGAGGTACTACCGTCCTGTGGTAGTAGGTTGGTAGACAGCAACCACCCAGGGAGGTACTACCGTCCTGTGGTAGTAGGTTGGTAGACAACAACCACGCAGGGAGGTACTACCGTCCTGTGGTAGTAGGTTGGTAGACAGCAACCACCCAGGGAGGTACTACCGTCCTGTGGTAGTAGGTTGTTAGACAGCAACCACCCAGGGAGGTACTGCCGTCCTGTGGTAGTAGGTTGTTAGACAGCAACCACCCAGGGAGGTACTACCGTCATGTGGTAGTAGGTTGGTAGACAGCAACCACCCAGGGAGGTACTACCATCCTGTGGTAGTAGGTTGGTAGACAGCAACCACCCAGGGAGGTACTACCGTCCTGTGGTAGTAGGTTGGTAAACAGCAACCACCCAGGTAGGTACTACCGTCCTGTGGTAGTAGGTTGTTTAGACAGCAACCACCCAGGGAGATACTTCCGTCCTGTGGTAGTAGGTTGGTAGACAGCAACCACCCAGGGAGGTACTACCGTCCTGTGGTAGTAGGTTGGTAGACAGCAACCACCCAGGGAGGTACTACCGTCCTGTGGTAGTAGGTTGTTAGACAGCAACCACCCAGGGAGGTACTACCGTCCTGTGGTAGTAGGTTGCTAGACAGCAACCACCCAGGGAGGTACTACCGTCCTGTGGTAGTAGGTTGTTAGAGAGCAACCACCCAGGGAGGTACTACCGTCCTGTGGAAGTAGGTTGGTAGACAGCAACCACCCAGGGAGGTACTACCGTCCTGTGGTAGTAGGTTGGTATACAGCAACCGCCCAGGGAGGTCCTACCGTCCTGTGGTAGTAGGTTGGTAGACAGCAACTGCCCAGGGAGGTCATACCGTCCTGTGGTAGTAGGTTGGTAGACAGCAACCGCCCAGGGAGGTACTACCGTCCTGTCATAGTAGGCTGTCAGACAGCAACCGCCCAGGGAGGTACTACCGTCCTATGGTAGCAGGTTGGTAGACAGCAACCACCCAGGGAGGTACTACCGTCCTGTCGTAGTAGGTTGGTAAACATCAGCCGCCCAGGGAGGTACTACCGTCCTGTGGTAGTAGGTTGGTAGACAGCAACCACCCAGGGAGGTACTACCGTCCTGTGGTAGTAGGTTGGTAGAAGTAGGCTGGTATACAGCAACCGCCCAGGGAGGTACTACCGTCCTGTGGTAATAGGTTGGTAGACAGCAATCGCCTAGGGGTGTACTACCGTCCTGTGGTAGTAGGTTGGTAGACAGCAACCACCCAGGCAGGTACTACCGTCCTGTGGTAGTAGGTTGGTAGACAGCAACCGCCCAGGGAGGTACTACCGTCCTGTGGTAGTAGGTTGATAGACAGCAACCGCCCAGGTGTGTACTACCGTTCTGTGGTAGTAGGTTGGTAGACAGCATAAACATGCAAGATTTCAGGTATGTCTTGCTACTTGTACTTACACTTAGGTCACACTACACATACATGTACAAGCATATACATACACAACCCTCTGGGTTTTCTTCTATTTTCTTACTAATTCTTGTTCTTGTTTATTTCCTCTTATATCCATGGGGAAGTGGAAAAGAATTCTTCCTCAGTAAGCCATGCGTGTCGTAAGAGGCGACTAAAATGCCGGGAGCAAAGGGGTAGTAACCCCTGTCCCAGCCTGCCTCGGTGGATACTGCCAGGTTGTTGAAAGTAGAAAAGTAACAAGCAAAACAACAACAAAATACACCATGATTACAGCCCTCAAAACATTGTTCCGTCTTTGAAATTAGATTTTTCTTTTTTTTCAGCAACTTTCAAAATATGGACAAGTTGGAGAAGGGGCCCAAGGAGATCTTCACTCAGGAGATACAAAAGGTGAGTCGACCTGTTTATTACATTTTCTCTGGTGGCAGGTAAAATAATCTCCCTTAATAATGATGATGATGATGATAATAGTAACAACAACAGCAATAAAAATAATATTCATACTACTTATATTACTACTACTACTACTACTACTACTACTAATAATAATAATAATAATAATAACAATAATAATAATAATAATAATAATAACAATCATACTACTTATACTACTACTACTACTACTACTACTATTATTACTATCATTAATAATAATAATAATAATAATAATAATAATAATAATAATAATAATAATAATAATAATAATAATATATAATTATAATAATAATAACAACAGCTAGACAGACACGATATCATTCAACTTTCTGGTATTCGTAAGAAAGAGACAAAGCCGGTTAATGTGCTTATCCAGGCTAGACAACCCAGCCTCGCGAGGTAGATTGTCCGGAGGGTTAATTAAAGACAGTCCCTCTGGTGATTTAGAATTTTGTTCCGAAAAATTAAGCCTTCATCTACCTTAGCAGTTGGTTCATCTACCCGAGCAGTTGATTCATCTACCCCAGCAGTTGATTCATCTACCCCAACAGTTGGTCCATCTACCCTAGCAGTTTGTTAATCTACCCCAGTAGTTGCTTCATCTACCCCAGCAGTTGATTCATCTACCCCAGCAGTTGATTCATCTACCCCAACAGTTGGTCCATCTACCCTAGCAGTTTGTTAATCTACCCCAGTAGTTGGCTCATCTACCCCAGCAGTTGATTCATCTACCCCAGCAGTTCGTTCATCTACCCCGGCAGTTGAATCATCTGCCCCAGAAGTTAGTTCATCTGCTCTCAGAAGTTGGTTCATCTACTCCAGGAGTTGGTTCACCTACCCCAAGAGTTTTTCATCTACCCTAAGAGTTGGTTCATCTACCACAAGAGTTGTTTCATCTACCCCAAGAGTTGGTTCATCTACCCCAAGAGTTGGTTCATCTTCCCCAACAGTTGGTTCATCTACCCCAAGAGTTGGTTCATCTTCCCCAAGAGTTGGTTCATCTACCCCAAGAATTGGTTCATCTACCCCAAGAGTTGGTTCATCTTCCCCAAGAGTTGGTTCATCTACCCAAAGAGTTGGTTCATCTTCCCCAAGAGTTGGTTCATCTACCCCAAGAATTGGTTCATCTACCCCAAGAGTTGGTTCATCTTCCCCAAGAGTTGGTTCATCTACCCCAAGAGTTGGTTCATCTACCCCAAGAGTTTGTTCAACTTCCCCAAGAGTTGGTTTATCTTCCCCATGAGTTGGTTCATCTACCCCAAGAGTTGGTTCATCTACCCCAAGAGTTGGTTCATCTACCCCAAGAGTTGGTTTATTTACCCCAAGAGTTGGTTCATCTACCCCAAGAGTTGGTTCAACTTCCCCAAGAGTTGGTTTATCTTCCCCATGAGTTGGTTCATCTACCCCAAGAGTTGGTTCATCTACCCCAAGAGTTGGTTCATCTAATAACCCCAAGAGTTGGTTCATCTACCCCAAGAGTTGGTTTATTTACCCCAAGAGTTGGTTCATCTACCCCAAGAGTTGGTTCATCTACCCAAAGAGTTGGTTCATCTTCCCCAAGAGTTGGTTCATCTACCCCAAGAGTTGGTTCATCTACCCCAAGAGTTGGTTCATCTACCCCAAGAGTTAGTTCATCTACCCAAGAGTTGGTTTATCCTGGCGTCTTCATGGTTATCACATTCAAGATTGTTCACCCTACAATGTTCATGGTTGGTTATCTCGTTCAAGGTTATTCAACTGCTGGTTTTCTGTTGAACAGACTGAGGACTCTCCAGAAAAAAAAATATACATTGAATCCTCCTTGTATAAACATTTAATCATCTTAACATTCACTGAATCTTTCTAAATTAAATATTGAATATTCATGAACAATGAATCTTCACCAATTAATTCAGCATTGATTCATCCTAAACCCAATCGTTCCAAACACTGAATCTTCCTAAACACTTAAACATCCTTAAAGCAATCTTTCTTAACACTGAACCTTCCTAAACATTGAATCTCCCTAAATACTGAATTTTCCTGAACGCAGTCTTCTTAAACAGTGGATCTTCCTAAACACTGAATCTTCCTAAACACTGAGACTTTCAAAACAATTAATCTTCCTAAACATCGAATCTTCTTAAACAGTGAATCTTCCTGAACAATGAATCTTACTAAACACTTAATCTTCCTAAATACTGAATCTTCCTAACAGTGACTCTTCCTAAACAATGAATTTCCCTTAACACTGAATCTTCCTAAACACTGAATCCTCTTTTCTGTTCTGTTTCTTTAATCACACTTGTCAGTAATTCTCATTTCTTCAATCAGAATAAGTTTCTCCAATACACAGTTTCGGTTAAACCATACCCCCGGCCGGGATTGAACCCGCGGTCATAGAGTCTCAAAACTCTCATGGGCCAGTAGGCCTGCTGCAGTGTTCTTTCTTTCTTATGTTCATATGTTCATATTGATTTTCCTAAAAAAAACAGTGAAAAAACTTTGAATCTTCTAAACTTGAATCTTTCCAAAAAACTTTAATCTTCCTAAACATTGAACTTCCAAGACCTAACCCTTCTAACATTAAAATCTTCGTAGAATACACTTTTAATTTTTTCAGAGATTGAGTTGTTGTTTTTTTTTTTTTCATATTGTTTGTCATAGAAACAAAATTTAAAATTCTCAAGCAAAATTTAATAGATTTAATGAACGTGGATTTGTTCATGTAAATTGAACTGTTTGCTATTATAGCTAGTAAAGCTAACGTTTGTAGTTTTAAAATAGGTTGGATAAATACATGATGGGTGTGGTGGGTGTGATTAGACTAACTGTTTTGTGTTACTAGTCGGATGCCGTGCTCCCCCTTAAGTCTGACTCATGAGTCATGAGTCATAAAGACCCAAACGTCAGTGAGCTTAAAAGGTCACTAGGTCATGAGCTTAACCGGGTGGGAGAATTGACCTGCCTCGCAAAAGCAGTAGGCTGTTCAGTTTTTCCTTTTTCTCATGTTCTTATGTTTTTCCCATTTTCTCTCTACAAGCTGTTTCTTGCACAGTTTCGCCCGGCTCATCATCGTAGTCAATTTCTGCTCGTGAAATCTTCAGTGACTTTTTATTTTTTTTTAAAATATCGGGAAAGTATAATTTTCCATCTGTCCTCCGTTCACTTCCTTGCAATAAAATTCCAGATTTTCCCCCCTCCCCCAATCCAAATTTAAATAGTTTTAGTTTATACAGCTTCGTTTTAATCCCAATGACACTATTTGTTCTCCACTTCTTTTGGGTTTTTTTCCCAATAATGATTCTTTTGACCAAAATCAACGAAT